CTCTGCCACTAAAAAATAGGGGTGTTTTCAGCAAAAAACGAATAACCCTGGAATACACACAATATACTGAATTTCGGAACAAATCGTGCATTACTTACAGCAGCAGAATACCACAGAGATATCAGACGAAACATGAAAACACTATATATTGTATTTCAGCCTGAACCCTCTATATTGCAATTCAAGGAATTAACCCCATATGTGCATCCATTTCCCACCTTGGTATCACCCACCCCTGAAAACAAACTCTTAATACCACGCTGAAGCGTTTGGTAATAAGCACTGTATAGGATTACTGAGCCAATGAAAATGACTCAAGTACATGGTTTATGACTCAAGTACATGGTTTATGACTCAAGTACATGGTTTATGACTCAAGTACATGGTTTATGACTCAAGTACATGGTTTATGAATCTGTGTGATTGCAGTCCATTTACAATATAGAATAATATACATATACATGATGTAGACCTTCTACAGTACAGGTACATACATGTATGTAGCTTACTCTATGACTGACGTCAGCTACTTGTAAGATAACATTTGCAATCATAGCGAATGTAGTAAAACCTATATTTTTTTCAAATGACCAACTTGTTGACCTTCTTGTACAAACGGTGAGAAGATCGGATTATAAAAAAAAATCTTTAATTTGCAAGATTCATATTTCTAGTAATATTAATATTAGCCGCCAATTAATTTCACAAACTCACTTTGTGTTATACTTGTGGTCTCTTACAGCGCTAGTTGTACCAGAATCCTATAGTTACTCAATCAGTACAGATGATGATATTAGGCTATCAGTGGAGTTAACTGGTGAAAACGACCCATCAGATCTGAGATGGAGACGTAACTCTACGATATCAGTGGAGCAGTGGAAGGGACTTAGCCAAGTGAATATTGATGATGCTAATTCAAATATTCCTGAGATTTATGAGGCCACGCTGAAGAAAAAACGGAAGGGATTACATGCAATTATGCTACTCAATGTCAGAGGTACATGTATGTCTAAATTGCCTTCCCAATTATCCTTTGCTGGTCATGCATGAAAAGATAATACCGTACAGTAGCTATATCTAGTTCTGCAATGTACGTGTAACAATTTCTTCAATGAGAAAATCATTATGTACATGTATACTGGTAAATGTTCTCTCCAGATTATTCAATGACAGCAACTGTCAACGTTGACGGTGTCTGCGCTAATCTCTTGTTTATGTGTATAGTTTCTGATCTGAACTGTGTAAAGTAATATAAACAATTCATTTATGCTGACGAGGCGAGGCGGCTTGTGGAAATCCGAATTCAAGTCGGGTATATGCACAGTTTCTTCTAGAGTGATGTGGTCTACGCTGCAATTTTCAATAAATATATTCATAGACATACCGGTAAACCACGGCTGTATTTCGTTCTATTGTAACTCTTTGAACGATTGGTCGTTTTTCCATTCTGTCCTGCAATGTTTTCTTCAAGATTACGTTCTACCTCAGACAACTAAGAGAACTGTAATAATTGTCTGAAATGAAACTCATCCTCATAGGCAGCAGCGGCTTGGATTGATCACCGGGTCGTACTATTCTTTTATCGTACGGGAAATGGTCAGCTGACATTGTTTATATTAATAGCCAGACTTTCTACAATGTATAAATGTGACAATGAGGTCACGTTCCCACGCAACTTTGAACTTGGATTGGGGTCATTCACAGACATCAGAGCAGAGGAAACTAGAATTGTGAAACTGCTCAAGATTTCTTTGCGGCTACAGGTTACATTTTTCTTCTGGCAAAACTATAAAGAAATTCCAAGCTGTGTCGGTCTAGTCAACCACAGGAATGCATAAATGTGAAATTTTATCCGAACAGAGAAAATGGGAATTGTGAAACTGCTCAAGATGTCCATGAAAAAATTGCTACGAGTTCAAAACTCAGTTATGACAAAACTTGGCACGAGCAATTACTTGACAAAATTTACTCATTTCGCATACACAATACGGTATTGCAAACATAATGTTGTGGTACTTCGGGCCAAATTAGACAAAACATCATGAATCACTATAAAAATAATCACCTGCAGTGTAGTGCGAAATCGAGCTGCAAAACAAATCCTTGCTACGAGCCGGTAAAAAACTGTTATCACCTACAAAGCGGCAGAGAATCTACTTCACTCATTTATTCAGAATTCTGTTATTTATAAAAAGGCAGTCACATAGAAAGCTTCAACAATTTGTTGAATGTTTTTTATGACAAGCGTTTTGCATTTCATTCCAAGCAGTATGAAATGCATACTAATTTAGCGATGCTACGCAGGAATTAGAATGTCAATCGACCATACACCAACATGTGTTCTTCTCCCGATGACAACAGTGGGCGAAGGTTGAAGAAAAATACAAGTCGTTTACAAAACAACGAACGTACGTTAGAGTAATTGCAATGAAGCTCATCTGTGTTTACCTTTTGTAATGCATTCCAGAAACATAAACAACACACTGGTGGCGAGAGAGCGTACACAGCATTTCATAACAAATTTAATCCAAAAATTTTATTATTTTAATGTTATTGCAATAATGACTAAGAACATAAAATCTCTATTAGAAGCTGTGACAGCGAGAACATCTAGACAAATGGTAATAGTGAATTTTTGGTTCTTAGTTGTTCAAAAAAAAAATGGGGCTTTTATTACAGATTTTACAGATTGTATATTACTTGCAGTGTATCTATAAATTTCAACCAGGGATGATGAAAATAAAAAAATAAATTATTGTTTTAGCAAAGAAGGTTTTATGGCAGGTAAAATGTATGACAACAATATTTACACTGCCATGTTTGTGATAAAATGAAAGTGAAACAAAGTTAATGAACTACTTGTGTGTTGATATTTTTAGGTTGTCCTGCAGGGAAGTGGGGGAGTGACTGCAGTAGCGACTGCCCACGCTGTTTGAACAGGGGGATTTGTGATGCTAAGACTGGCAATTGTACATGTCTACAAGGGTTTATGGGGGAAGTGTGTCAGACAGGTAAGGTGTTCTATATCAGGGTTCTCCTCAGGATATTATAGAATAGGGGTTCCAACTGTTAAATTTTGGATAAACAATAGAACCAAATTTGCATAACAATGAATATAATACATTAACATATTTGTTATGCAAATTGGCCAGTACTGTATACACCTTTTCTGGAAGAACATATTTATTTCTATTTTTCAAGAATTTTCTTTTTAATTTTCTGACGAAATATTCAAAGGGCACACTTTTTACCAATTTTTACCAAGTGATGATAAGAGACATGAACATTGTGTCTTGGTTTTTATACATACGTATTTGTAGTGTGATGTTGCAAAGTATGATGTTAAAAGTTGAAACATTTGTGCACTTTTGTAGATAACTGTCCTCTTGCATGACTCTCCTGACAAATACCTGTATCTAATAGAAACTTGTAATTTTCATTGCTAGGAATTTAGTAATTTAATGATTTTATGGCATTCACAAAGAACAAATTTAGCAAAAGTTGCCGACACTGTGTGTCCTATCACCCAAGAGAATTAATTTTTCACTGCTACAAAATTTCATGATTTTTCACAGATTTGTGAAAAAAATTTTTGGAGAAATTTAAGTAGATTAGAGCATCTTTATACATGTATACTGTAGAATACTTTTTTTTCACTTGGAATTAATTCTTGCTATTTTAACTGGAGCAATGATTCAGTAAAAATAAAATCCAGCAAAATTAATATATCACATTACATTCAATTTGTCGAAAATCAGTGAAAATAGCCAAAACAACCAAAAAGTCTATTCAGCGAAAATTAATTCCTGCTAAAATAAAGTATTTGGCATTATACAACATGTACAAGCAGTGAGAATGTTCTCTGTGATTAAGGTACAACTTTTGTTCAACATTTAAGTGGAAAACACCAGTTAATGTGAATGCCACATACCAAATATCGATAACCCATACTCGAGTATACTCATTATTGTGTCTAGACTAGTTCTATCTTTGTTGATATACCATTTCCGATAACACTTATGGAGTAACTGTTGCAAACATATTTGGAGGACTTCTGCTGTTCATTTAGGCTTACACAAACTATAGGTGACTCAGAAAGCTGTTTCTATTCCTGTTTAATCTTGAAAATATATTATCTCAACTTTATTTAAATAAAGAGAGTCCTTATTTACTATAATAGTTCCGTTGTCAACAGAAGAGTTATGAGTGTAGAAAAGACTACTATACTAGTAATTCACTTTTGTCAACATTTTGAACACTAAAGACAACTTTTGTCACCTTTCACAGAATTTAGTTTGCTCAATTTTGATCAGATTTTTTTTTTCAAATTTAATCAAAACATGTAGCAAATGCTAAATTATGTCTATTAAGTCAAAAATTAAAAAAAGAAAATACACATAAATGTAAAAATTGCTGCCCAAAACTTTGGGTGGGAAAAATTGTGGTCTCAGTTATGTCAACTTTCTTCTTTCACTTCTTGCAAACTATTAATGTAATAATTTCATTTCCAAAAATACAAAGACAAATTATTTTCACCAAAGTTTTGTTATTTTCAATTTAACTCTCACAAATAATTGTTGGGTGATAATTGTGATGCTGTATCTTAGATTTATCAGATGTTGTCTTTTTTTTTACAGCTTGCCCAGAGAGTTATTTTGGTACAGATTGTGATGTCCTTTGTACAACTGATGGTGCATGTGCTGGTCACTATGTATGTCAACCTGGTCCTTTCGGGTGTGCATGTACAGCAGGGTATCATGGAAGGAACTGTGATCTAGGTGAGTTGTAGATTTGTCTGTGTGTTTGTAATTCTCCTCCTCCAATATATCACACAAAACAAATTATTCAGTGTACCAGTCTTCATTTTGAAGTGCACCTGCATGGGAATTGAGTCCCAAGTGACGATAACCATGGTAAAAATGCATAGACGCATGTTTGTAAACAACAACATGCTATGGCCATCCACTGCATGCCCAGATAACTCTCTAGCTTTAGTCTGTGATTTTTCCCAAAAAAGGTTTAAAATTGAAATAATTTTAACTACTGTAAAACTACAGTTTTTTGCAGAATCGATCAAGTGTTGTAAACATTCTTTCATAATAAAATGTTGAGTTGATGTTTAATTCATACCAGTATAGTAAACACAAAATGATAAAATTGTTTGTATTGTGACTGAATAATGCTGTTCATACCTTGAGAAAAGTAAGACATTTGGGTTTGTATATCTTGATGTACATTTGCGAGATTTTTTTATTCTTCCCTTCTCTATCGTTTTATGTTCTAATCAATTCAAGTTGAAAGAAGCCAAAACACCTCAATATTGTCATTGTTTAGAAGAAAGAAATGTTTAAAGGACAAATTTACTGAAAACTATATAATAATTACGTGATGACATTTTTGCAGTAGCAAGTTAAAATCATTTGTACATGTAGTAAAAGATTTATAAAAAAAAAAAAATCGAAGTGTGTGGCAAAAATTGACGTTTGCATCATGTGAATTTTTTCTTTCATCTTGTATAGTGTTACCAAAGTTGTCAAGTTTTCCGAACATAGAAAATGTTGAATCGAATAAAGTAACTGTGTCGTGGGATATCTGGAATGAACAACGAGATGTCGGTAGCGGCCCTGTCATTGGCTATGTAGTATGGTACAAAAAGTCATCGTCCGATGAATGGTTTAGGAAACCTAATGATAGAATATTGTCAACGAATTCCACAGTGGTTGATTCACTGAAGTTTAACACACAGTATGAGTTTTCAGTCCAGTCAGTGGTATCTGATGATGAAGTCATTGTGAGAGGGCCGACTACACAAAAGAAAACAAAATGTGGAAGTAAGTGCTTCGCGTTTGACAAACAAATCTACTTGTACATGTACCGGTATATTTCTACTGATTTATGTAAAAAAAAAAAAACCTGCTGTTATTCGTGCATACCAAAACAATTGTACGTTGCTGTACGCCTGTATATTAGCAGTTAACATTCTCTTTTTATGCGTTTATTTCAGCACCCACCGTTGCTATAGCGAATATAGAGGTTGTTGCTACTGGTGGAAATAGTCTACAGGTTTCCTGGCAGGTATACCTTTCTTTTATAAGTTGACGAAGGAATATGGATAAAATAATAATCACTCTCATGGTTTCCATGGAAACAAGCATGGAACCCTTCTGTTATGCTTTCTGTACATATGACGTTGATGCCAAATTACAACATGTACATTTGTGGTACAGTCTGATTTCCCCCAAGGTAATAGCAAACTTTACTATGATATCTTTCTCTATTTGTAGATGCCAGATCTGAATAAGAATAATATGCAGTGTAAAGTAGACAGTCAGGATACGTCATTTGTGATTAAATATAAGAAAGACACCGATGTAGCGTATGAACGCAAGACAGTTCCGCACGACGTCCCGCACGACGTCCCGAATCAGACTACAATTCATGATTTAGAATCTTGTACCAACTACACAATTGTAATGGTTGTGTTTAATGGTGTCTCCTATGGACCTGAAAGTCAAGTGGTATCTGGTGTAACCAGTGTATCAGGTCAGTAGAAAAAAATTACAACTGACATACATTGTTGCTCAGCATGTGAGATAGTAGACATTTAAATTTTTGTTGTCGCATTTCATTTATTGTACACTTGATCGTAAAAACATTTGACTGTTCTGCCGTTAGATACATCAATACATCTGTCGTTCTGTAGTCTATTACGTGAATGCAAAGAATAATAATTAAAAAACAATGTATTTTTGTGTGATCTTTGTTATCTCTTGTTCGTTTAAATATACTATTATTGTTGTTGTTCATTTTGTCTTGTGCCTTGCCCATCTATGCATATGTTCTATGAAGTGCATTTCACCTCTGGAATTTGAATACACACTACACTGTATCAGAATGCATGTTTATGCAAATGAAACCCGAAATATATGTGGGAATCATTATAAATGTATTGAATATAGTTTATGTTTTTGAAATTATCACACTATTAGGTATTTTTCTTTAAAAAACATGGCTCTTCCATACACTTTGTGATAGTACATGTACATTAGTATAATTCAAGAAAAAATGTTGGAAGAATTGAAAATTTACTTATTCCGTGATATAAACAGCTTTTTTGTAGCATAGTGTTTGTGCAAGCATGTTATAATTAATTAGGTTTATAAATAGCACGCTTTGGTATTTGGTAGAAAATTTCTCAATCTCCCGCCAAATAGAGGTCTTAAATTCGCTACCTAATACCCTGGCTTGCTGTTTTATAACCTCTAAATCTTTTATACATTATGCAATTTTTGGTTCATGTATGCTTTTATAATTTGATCATATTTGTTTCTGTCAAAGATTGATATAATTGTTTAGTGGAGTTTATTCCTCCACCGAAATAACGTGAACATTCCATGTACCTGTGAGTCTCTAATAGAATACTAGATTTTTCCCATTCACTGTGAGATCAAACATTATGCATTATGACGACGACGACGACGACGAAGACGCCGACGACGATGATTTTTTCATGCTTTTTAAAAATAAATCTCCAATAAATACAGATCCTGTTGAAGTGGAAGATTTACAAGTGGAGACGCAACAAACTGACGCTACCTCCCTGCACATCGAGTGGAATCGACCAAGTCAGTGCCAGTATGAATACAGTTATGAAATAAAGTATAAACTTTTAACAAAAGGTACCTGTGAGATTGCTGATTCCGATTGGACTACTCCAGTATCTGTAGACAACAATGTGTACGATATAAATCAATTATTCCCAAACTCAGAGTATAAAGTTTGTGTCAAATCTGTCATTGGCGAAAAGGAAAGTGGTGATGTCAAAAAATCGGGAAAAACTGATATTGCTGGTAAGTATACTCTGTGACATATTTCTGCAATTATAGAATACTTTATACTAAATATTAATTCTTGGTTTACACCATCATAGCCAGAAAATATAAAGTATCTGTCAAAAAACAACATTGATGAATTTTGATTTCTGGAGTCAGCAGCCACAGACATATACTTAACTTTGTTATGATTATGTTGGTTTTGTAAATTTTCCATCAAAAGTGGTCATGTTTGTTGAAATCTTTAGGCTAAAAATGATACTTCTAAGTACATGAAATTTCGATCTGATTGAATCAGTCTCTGATTTTGAATAAAAAGACTAGAATTATAACTGTTGTAATAAATTCAATGACGTAAGGATAATTGCCTTCTTATGCGTTTCATTTCAGCACTAACCGACATAGTGCAGAACTTCAGCACTTCATCCATTACCCACAATGCATTAGAACTGACATGGAATAGGCCACCATGTGGTGAGCCCAATGGTCCCCTATCATATGAAGTCAATCTACTGGAATATAATAATGATCAATTCAAGAAAAAAAAGAATCAAGTAGTCAGTGAAAATGCATGTAAATTTGAGAAGCTGTTGATTTATACTCGATATAAGGCTACCATAGTTGCTATGAATAATAAAGGAAATGGGCCTCCTACCAGTATTGATGTTCAGACGTTACAGTACTGTAAGTTGAACTTTCTGAATATGCTGTGTATATTGACTTTGTTTCTGAAATTGCACTGTACATGTATCCTTAAGTTCTATTTTGCACCAAACCGTGAAGCATAGTTTATAGCTCATCCAAAATATTAATGAAGACATAAATGACAGGGTAAATGTCTGTCTTGTCAGTGTTGTTGTCGTCCTCCCTATTTCAAACTCAGTTTTTTGCGGTTACAATAACTCACGTAATATTCATCTGATCGTTTTCAAACTTTGATATCATATTAGTAACTATAAAATCTTGCCCAAGCTCAATTGTGGTATGATTTTTTTTTGTCACTTCAATAAGGACAATCTAGGAGAAGGTGATCATTTCCTGGCAGGTGGTTGCATTACTAGATGCAAATAAAATTCTGTTTGGTAAACATCAGGTGGTCCAACTAATGGAGAGAATCACATTTAATAAAATAACTGTGTCATAGCGGTTTATGCAGTGACAATATTAAAGTAGTGCCTATTTAGCAGTTTTGTGATGTAATATGTTTTATTCACAGAATGGCCTCAGGTCGAATAAGGGAGCTAATTTGCATAAATGTAAAGAAAAACTTTTTAAAATTTTGATTGTCATGATTTGAGCACATTTACCTCTTATTGTTCGTTACAGATCCATCAGCCCCGATTAATTTATCTGTCGTTAGAACTAGCCTTACCTCAATTGAATTGCAATGGAGTGCTCCTGTGACACCTAATGGCATTATCACACAGTACAACATAGAATGGATGCTTCACAACACCAAAAGCAATGGTCGGGAACCTATAGACGCCGTGACACGCTACAATATGACAAGTCTCGTCCCTGATAGCACTTATGAGATCTGTGTAAGGCATTATTTCATTTTACTGTATTTCTAAACATGAAGTTGACTGGTTATCTATATTCTCTGAATATCTGTTGACTACCACCACCTGGTGCTCCACTTAAAGAGCTCCATATATCTTAGCCAGTAGACATCATCATTCAATAGTATATTGAATATTAACAACTTGCAAATAAGAAAAGAGGTATTTTTTATAATTTTTTTCACAGAATAATTTTCTTTGTGCCAAGTTCCTGTGAATAAAACAGTCTTATAATTATATTTACTAGGTACAAGCTGTGACTATGGTTGGAAATGGACTGTGTAGTAATTATATAATGGCTAACACAGGAATACCAGGTAATACATCCAATGATTTCTTATCAGTATCAGTATCAGACAAGGTGATCTGTTAAGCAGTATGATTATGGCTCTTATGAGTGTAAGTTTCAGTTATTAGGCTGTAATTCACTACTTGTGTGATTTTTTTGTTATGATCACTGAAAACAAGGAGCAGCGCAAATGAATAAACATGTTAATGTTCTCTCAGTAGGATGCTATTCTCCCAACTATAAATGCTGAGGAAAATCCAGACATACTAACCACCCTGCCACAGCTGACCATAAGTGTTGAACACATAATCTATTTTATATAGGGCAGACATACTAACTACTATGCCACAGCTGACCACAAGAGTTGAACACATAATCTATTTTATACAGGGCAGACATACTAACTACTATACCACAGCTGACCACAAGAGTTGAACACATAATCTATTTTATACAGGGCAGACATACTAACTACTATGCCACAGCTGATCACAAGAGTTGAACACATAATCTATTTTATACAGGGCAGACATACTAACTACTATACCACAGCTGACCACAAGAGTTGAACACATAATCTATTTTATACAGGGCAGACATACTAACTACTATACCACAGCTGATCACAAGAGTTGAACACATAATCTATTTTATACAGGGCAGACATACTAACTACTATGCCACAGCTGACCACAAGAGTTGAACACATAATCTATTTTATACAGGGCAGACATACTAACTACTATGCCACAGCTGACCACAAGAGTTGAACACATAATCTATTTTATACAGGGCAGACATACTAACTAGTATGCCACAGCTGACCACAAGAGTTGAACACATAATCTATTTTATACAGGGCATGCAGACATACTAACTACTATGTCACAGCTGATCACAAGAGTTGAACACATAATCTATTTTATACAGGGCAGACATACTAACTACTATGCCACAGCTGACCACAAGAGTTGAACACATAATCTATTTTATATAGGGCAGACATACTAACTACTATGCCACAGCTGACCATAAGAGTTGAACACATAATCTATTTTATACAGGGCAGACATACTAACTACAATGCCACAGCTGATCCACAAGAGTTGAACACATAATCTATTTTATACAGGGCAGACATACTAACCACCCTGCCACAGCTGACCACAAGAGTTGAACACATAATCTATTTTATACAGGGCAGACATACTAACCACCCTGCCAC